CTGCCAACCATATGCCCATGGGAAGCCCATAAAGGGGAGCTGAAATGCAACAGCACTTTTCTCACCTGCAATTCGCAGCAACTGACATCCAAAGGTATACTGCCACTGCAGATAGAACATAGCCACCATTGCTAGTAGCCTTGATAGCCTTAGCCTTTATAAATTTGTCTAATCCTTTTTTAAAGCCACCTACATTGGTGACCCTGACTACAGCATGTGGGAGCAAATTTCGTAGTTTAACTGTGCAGTATGGTGAAGAAATATTTTATTTTATCTGTCCTGAATCTTCCAACATTCAACTTCATTGGATGTTCCTGAGTATTTAGTGAGGTACTTTTTCAAAAGCTTGTTGAAAGTCTAATGCATAAAAAGGTTGGCAACTAAAAGGCCAGGCACCACCCCTTCTGGGAACTGGATTCGGCCCAGGGAAGTGCCATTAGCCAAACCACAATAGAACATATCCAGTTTTACACTAGAATGTCTCTAATCTTTTGTTGGTTATTAGCATCTTCTGTTCTTCACATTTGTTGCTATTATTGTATCTAATGCTCTTTCCATAATGGGTCAACACACCACAGAAAATCAATGTAATCTTTCAACTAATGATGAACTGTCACAAGTTCAAGGGTGATGTCTTTTAAACATGCTCAAAATGCATCCCACTGAGGATCAACTTATAATTAAACTGCCAAAAAGCAGACATTACCAAACCATTAGCTTCTGAATTTTTATAGACTATTAGCATTATTTGTGAAATCATAAGGGCTGAATTTAGAGAAAATTATGGCACAGGTCCACTACTCTCAGCTTCCCATTTCTAATCTCATTTTTACTTGTGGACATCTCTAATGACATCTCTAATGACCCTAAAAAGGGCACCTCCTTCCTAGCCAGTCTGTACTACGGCTGCATATTTAAGGCATAAGCAGGCATTCAAATGGATATACTGTTGTAAATCTCCTAATATGACCTAGACTTAATTATAATATGCAGCCTAATACAGCATTTACCCAGTTTTTATTATGATAATGATTGAACTGGGGTAAGTACTTTAATATGTACAGTACTCATGCTTAAAGGGGCTGGTAAGAATAAGTATAGTTACAATCCAAATGTCATTGCTGCCCATGCTTTACAATTTCTGGTTTTGTTCATCCTCACAGCAAAATGGTAGGCCAGTATTATAGCCATTTTACTGGTATATCACAAAAATGTAAGTATTGCAGGTTTCGGTGACTTGTTTCACACATAACACTAAGTCATATTTTGTTTAACAAACCACAATCCGTCCCACAGATGATCAAGCAAACCACAGCTTGCTTCTCCAAAGTTTGATTTATTTTCCGGCTGCTTTTGCTTCATGCCTTTGTGGCATAGTGAGCATCTGGGGAGGGGTGGTCAAACAAACCATGTAACAAGCCATAGTTCATAAACCAGCAACAAACCATGGCTTCAGTTAGATAGCTAATCTGCTGGGCAGGGTTCACACATAATGCTAAGTCATGGTTTAATTCAAACCAGGCCATTAGCTCTTATGTTGGAGGCAGATAATATTTTTTTAAAAAGCTGAAAGTAGAATAAGAGAAGTATCAGTTATTACAATACATTATTTGCTCCCACTCTTGCCTCTGGCAAAACAGGTTTTTGAAACAATAAAAAAATCTGTCAAAGTTCTATAGCATAGACAAAAGTAAGAGTTACAAAGAGCAGTCCTCTTTCAACTCTGTAGAGAGAGAGAAATCTGTGTCCACACTTAAGAAAAAATAAAAAAGCTAAATTAGATCACACACACACCAGAGTGCTGACAGTCAAATTAAGCATGATTATTTGTGGTACTTTGCACGAAGGAGTTCTAAAATGATAAAATGTATCGTGCAGCCATCTTCTGCACACTTAAACAGAAACTAAAAGGCTGTGGTGATACATTCATGCACCCTTAGGTCTTAGAAAGCAATACATTGACAAACAAAGAGCTTGTAAGAAATAAATCCCCAGAAGGAATATATGCACTGTTTGGGAAACGAAGTAAAGATAAGAAAACCTTTGAAACCTCAGAGCAGCTTTGCTGAATCAGAACAAATACATGTTTTTCACAGTGACCAGCCAGACGCCTATGGGAAGCCCACAAGCAGGACGTGAATGTAATACACCTCTCTTGCACTTCTTCCCCAGTGACTGGTATTCAGAGGCATGCTGCCTCTGAACATGGAGGGACATTGCAGCCATTAGGACTAATAGTCACTCATAGCCTTATGTTCCATGAATTTGTCACGGGCAGTTTTCATGTCCTAGGACTGGGAAAGTGGGCAACTGGCAGATAATCTTGACATTTAACTGTCACAATCCACACAAGCCAATAATTAATGTACAGTGGTACCTCGGGTTAAGAACTTAATTCGTTCTGGAGGTCCATTCTTAACTTGAAACTGTTCTTAACCTGAAGCACCACTTTAGCTAATGGGGCCTCCCGCCGCTGCTGCTGCGTCACCATGCGATTTCTGTTCTCATCCTGAAGCAAAGTTCTTAACCCGAGGTACTATTTCTGGGTTAGTGGAGTCTGTAACCTGAAGCGCCTGTAACCCAAGGTACCACTGTACTCTTGTAAAGTCTACTGCTAGATATGGCAATGATGGGAGACATGCAAGTATTCACACAACACTTTCATACATGTTAAAGTCAATATGAGCTGACATTTTTTTAGTGGCAGTCCACACTGAGCTGGCATTGTAAGTGTTGGAGTCCTTTCAACATGCTGGCTCAATGCCCCTTTCATATATTTTCAAGATAAGCTGGACATGCTGCTGAAACATCCAGAAGGATCATTCAACATCAAAATCCATATTAAGGTTAAGCCTTCATTTAGTACTGTCCTAATTTGAATTTTAGATTTTTTTTTTAATGGATGAACACAGTTACTTTTACTGTTTCAACAAAAACATCCATTTGTGATTATTTCAGCATGCATCAATACACAAAATGATTGCTTGTCTTGGATCCAAGATTGATCCAAGTGTAAAAGAAATCCAGGGAATAAACTCTCAATAAGGCCAGAAAAGTATGGACGCAGCAGCATTCATGAGATACTAGAAAGAACCATCAGCAGAAGGAGTCTGAAAAAGCATGTAAGCTAGACAATAATGAAATAATCTGGGAACAGAGGCCGCCTCAATAGACATGAAAACTAAAGAAACAGCATTAATTTAGATTTCCTTCCATGACAACCAGTAATATATTATCTACTGTTGATAACAAAACTGTGAAGTGGGTTAAGTGGCTCAAGGACTGGCAAAGAGCTTCATGCTGGGCTGGAGATTGAACCAGAGCCTTCTACAACAAAACCTAATACTCTTTCTGTTGTACATTACTGGCCCTCAGAAAGCAATGTTTAAGATAAAGATTGATCCCACATGCTCAGTATTGTTTCACCAATATTGTTACTGCTTTAGAAATCGACTTAATTTGCAATCCCTACCAAATGTTCATCCCAAATAAATTTGGTCTTTTGGGGAGGGGGGCGGATACTTTAAAAAAAAATCCAGAACAAAGGAACCTCCTTACTTGGGTAGATTTATATTGTTTCAAGAGAAACATTTGTAACCTTACAATGTTATTATCGTGTTTGCTCAAAGGCCTCCTAAGGGTTTAGATGTACCCTTTTATAGTCGCCCTTTGGCAGTTGTCTAGCAGTTGTTTGATCAAATACCATTTATGCTGTGGCCTTTCTGCCATCTAACCTACTTAGTGCACAGCTATCCATCTGCTGGCCTCAATCTGCCCTTCCATCCTATCCTCAAAGGATCGGATGAAACCTTGTTATACCTCACTAAGTCACAAACCCTTCATTTATTTCAAGAGACCTTTGAGACCTGGAGTTACTTCCTATTGTACACTCTTGAAGTGTGAAAAGCTTCAATTGGGAAACAACAGACACCTGAAAATGAAAAGGTATTCTTCTCCTCAACATCACCCAAGGCAAGGTTTCATGCTCCAATGCAACACAATGATGAAATGGCTCTTTGTATTCTCTTTCTCAAACGTTTAAGAACTTCTGACAAACACTAGTGCCCTATTGTTATAGCTGCCTGCATTTCAGCATGAGGGTATGCTGGGTGACAATCTAGTTTGGGCAGCTGGGAATACTTCAATGCAGTTTCTACGTACAGCGGTAACAGGATTAAGTAGGAAAGCCACAAAAGCAAACCCCAGTGTAAACCACACATGTAAACTAAATCCAAGTATCAACATTTTAAAATGCCAGATGCTTTAATAACAACAAAGAAGAGCAGAAGGAGATGCTCATGCATGAAGATCAAGAAGGAATGGCTGTTATTAACCTAAAGCTTTGTGAGACAGATTACTTGGATGAAACAAAGACTGAGAGCTACTAGTTATTTTGGGGGGGAAATACAAGGGATAGTGATAATCTAATTCAGGGCCACTGTAAATGGCAATGAAGATTACAACAAGAATAAGTATTCAAGCACTCCAAACACTACCCATATGATTCCCCCCCCCAAAAAAAACACTTTCTTGTTTTCTTTCTAGATTATTATTGACATTGTTGTCCATTTGCAGATGGTGCATATTTGTATGGTGTGACCTTGCACACAAACTCTTGACATCAGGACTGCTAAAAGGCTCCGGGAGCCCTTTGGAATACTGCTGCTGCTGTGAGTGGAGGAAAGACTGCTCCCTGCTTCAAGGTCCTTTCCCATCTGGCCTAAGGGGCACGGTCTGCTAAAAGGCTCTGGGAGGCCATTGGGACACTGCTACTGCTGCTTTGCGAGTGTGAAGGAGGCCGCTCCCTGCTGAAAGGCCCTTCTCCTGAGAGGCAGCAGCAAGAAGGATGTTTTTAATATTTAAAAATAGTTTTTAGTATTTGGCATTTCAAATGCTGGTGTGTTTTTTTTTAATATTGAGGGTGGGATAAATGTTTAGTTGGGGTGGGAATTAGTTTAATTTTAGGGTGTGTTTTTTTCTTGTTTAGTTTCTATTTTATTGGTGTATTGTTTAGTCTGTATTTTGGTTTTAAGGGGAGAGAGTCAGGGCTCCCTGGGAGTGGACCCTAGCCAACAGAATGGCTGGGGTAGGTTCCACAGGGGGAATGCACTGGGATGCCCGATTTCAGTGATCACGGGTAGGAGGAGGAGTTACGTTAAGGCCAGACCATGCCATTACCAGGGACGCAGGTATAGTAGTTGTTTGAAGACTATCCCTGCCTCCAACTCTGGTCTTGACTGGAAGGATATTGGAACCAGCAAGGGAGACCCACATGACCTGAAGGTGCTGCTGTGCAATGCCAGGTCAACGATTAATAAGACCACTGGATCCATGACTTGATCATGGATGGGGGACTTGACCTGGCATGTGAGACAGAGACTTGCTTGGAGGAAGCAGATGGGCCTGTGCTTGCTACTGCTTGTCCACTAGGTTTATCTTACGCACAGTAACCCAGGTCATATGGGGGGGGATGGGGGGTTGCAGTGATTTTTAGGAAGTCATTAGCTTCTACCAGGCGTGGTGGAATGTTCTGGAAGCATGTTCTGGAAGTTGGGCAATAGGATTCCTTTTGGTTTACTGACCTCCCTGCTGCACCAAGGATTCCCTGGCCGAGCTGCTTCAGGTCGTGGCGGATATGCTCCTGGAGACACCTTGTTTGGTTGTCCTAGAGGATTTTAACATCCATGTCAACACAACCTTACAACGGGCCACTCGGGACTTTGTGGAAAGCAGGGCCTCCACAAGGGCTTTCCCTGAATAAGTTTGGCCCAACTCTTAGTCGTGGACATGCCTTAGAGCTGGTGTTTACCTCTATGGATGTGGGTGATCTGACACTAAGTAAAAGTGAAACAAAAGAAGTGCCGTGGTCAGATCACTTCCTGGTGCAACTGGACTTCTCACGACCCTTCCCCTCTGCAGGGAGGTGGGACCGATTCGGATGGTCCAACCCCACCACTTAATGGATCAAAATGGTTTTCAGAGAAAGAAACAATTCTGTGTCCAGGGCAGCTGTCTACCAGCTCTATCGGGTATGCAGCCTGAGACCCTACCTGCCCGCAGACTATCTCGCTGGAGTGATGCATGCCCTGGTTATCTCCCGCTTGGACTACTGCAATGCGCTCTATGTGGGGCTACCTTTGAAGGTGACCTGGAAACTGCAACTAATCTAGAATGCAGCAGCTAGACTGGTGTCTAGGAGTGGCTGCCAAGACAATATAACACCAGTCCTGAAAGATCTACATTGGCTCCTAATACGTTTCTGAGCACAATTCAAAGTGTTGGTGCTGACCTTCAAAGCCCTAAACGGCCTCGGCCCAATATACCTGATGGAGCATCTCCACCCCCATCTTTCAACCCGGACACTGAGGTCCAGTGCCAAGGGCCTTTTGGCGGTTCCCTCACTGCGAGAAGTGAGGTTACAGGGAACCAGGAAGAGGGCCTTCTTGGTAGTGGTGCCTGTCCTGTGGAATGCCCTCCCATCAGATGTCAAGGAAATAAACAACTATCCGACTTTTAGAAGACATCTGAAGGCAGCCCTGTTTAGGGAAGTTTTTAATGTTTGAAGTTTTATTCCGTTTTTTTTTATGATATTTATTGAAAAAAGAGTTTTTTTAAAAAATTACACAAAAGAAAAAACAAGACAGAAAAAGGAAAAAAACCAAAAAAAACCCATCCTTCTCCAATTCTCCACTTTCAATACCTTCTTTCCTTGACCTCCTCCTCCTCCCTTTTCCTGTATCCTGTTTTATAATAATCACAGCAAATCCTTTCTATAATTCATAGTATTCTGTCATCACATTACCTTGATCTATTTTCATCCTATCTTATAGAAAACCTTAAATCTTAATTTTTACCAACTTCTCCTAAACCATAACATTCTTACCTAGTTCTTTAGACATTTTTATAAGAGCCAAATAGTTTCATTTCAACATTTTCCTAACATTCATCAATTTTATAAAACAGTCCTAATGATAAGAATAAAAGAAAAAGCAATCCAGTCTTCATCCAACGTCCCTTCCTCCTGGTCCCGGGTTTTGTCAGTCCTTTTTATCCTATTAATCTAGCACATTAACCTGGCAATCTTATATCCGAGGCCCTCAAGTCTCTTCCATGTCCCTTTCGTAACTCTTCTTTATATTTCCCTTTTATTCGTGGGAACTCCAGCTTGGTAGTGTTTTTGACCCTTTTCAGCAAGACGATCCCTTTTCCATAGTCCAGGATAGGCTCGATGTAGTATTTACAAGCATGCTCCAGATTCCCTTCAAAATTGAGAGCCCCCACAGCTCCAAACATCTGACGGCCCCTTTCCAGACTTGAAAAGTCCAAATCTCCCTGTAAAGGGGGGTCTATCCAGCCCCCCATTTCCAAACCAAACCATATTTTATCTTTCCAAGTCTGATTTTTTCCAAGTTCATTTATCAAATCCAAGAGTTTATATTCCTGCTGGGCTGCAGCTCCCTCCATCTCTGGCGCCCAAGATTCAGCAAGGTCCTCTTCTTTCAGTTGTTCTGTCATGGCACGCTCCTGTTTCGATTCCTGGGTGGGCTCCATATAGTTTCCCACTACCTGTTCAAAGGTTCTGGCCGCATTAGTCATGAAATCCGTCTTCTGACTTAACTGATCCAATAGGGCATTTATTTTACAGAAAGCACCCAACAGTGCTTCTGAAGACATTGTCCTACAAGGTCACAAATCCTTTCCCACAGTTGTAATCAGTGACAGCTGCAAGTTCCCAGGAATTAGTTACAATTTCACAGTTCCCCACTAGGGGGAAAAACTTCTGGTTGTTCTTTTTCTTGAAAACAATAGCAACAAAGTTTCTTTTTTAAGATATTTTGTCCATATTTGTTCTTTTAAAAGACAAAGGGAAACAATGGAGTCACAATGTTTCTCTTCTTTTAACTATCTGTCAAAGACATTTGTTTCTGGTCAATGAGCTTCAAACGTCAATTCTGACACCCCGCTCCAGGGTCAGGATGGTGGAAAATTACTTTGCTTTAGATTCACTTCTGCAGGTTTAAGCAGCTCAGAAAAGGTCCCCCTTCTTCCCCTGCTACCGAAGGGGGGTTCAGCGATTTTAAATGATGAAAGTTGATCCTTTAAAAGTGATTTTTAAGGCTCTAGTTTGCGTTGTCTTTGCTTTGTTCTGACTACGAGGAAACGGAAGGGTGACTTCCTGTTTAAACCTTCCCGTTTCAGTACCAAATTAGGGTTAATTTTTAAGTCCAAATTCCTTTTTATTTCGCCAGTTCTTATTTGAAGTCCAAATATTCAATGTTCCAGTACTCACGGTTGGTTGTTTTAAATGCCAAATTGTTCCAGAAAAAAGGCAGCGCTCTCCGGCAACAACTATGTGGCTTCGCTCCGTAGAAAAAGCAATTGACTCACAGCACCGCGCCACTTCCCCCTCTTCACTTCGGAGCCCGTTTGTGGGTTCCTTTGTGGGTTGGGGGGGCACTAAAGGTGCCCGCCGAGTCCCACGGTCACAGGCTTCATCCGCCTGTGATTTCCAGAAGGGTCCCCGCTACGCCGCAGCGGAAAGACCCGTTTCATGCGGAGCTAGTCCCTCCAATTCAGAGGGAGTCCGCCATTGCCGGTGGCGCCACCCCGGAAGTCCCACGGGTTTTTTTTTTATGTTCTGTTCAAAGCCACCCAGAGTGGCTGGGGAAACCCAGTCAGATGGTTGGGGTAGAAATAATAAATTATTATTATAAAATTATTATTATTATTGAGTTAGGTGCCATTATCATCCCATTTGCTATATAGCAATTAAAGCTCAAAGAAGTCGCATTAGGATCTATCATATAATGGGGGTTTTCTCTGTGGGAAACCCCCCCTCACCCCGCTCACAAAATGCTTGCTGTAGAACCAAACATAAATTTTCTGAACAAAATAGCTACTGATTAGATTATTTTTTTTACTCCTATGAAAGAACAGTTCTCTAAATCTGATTTCACCCTAGCAAATACCTGTTTGTGTGGACAAAAACATGACTTTCAGAAGCAGAGAAGGAGGCAAGATCAATAAGTGTCTAAAACCAGACCCAAACTCCATCTGTTTTATTTCACAAGTCAGCCACACTTCTCTACCTTAGTCTTCAATTCTGCAAGCATATAGAACAGCACAGCACAGCGCATAATGCATTAAGTCCACAGGAGGTTTTCACTCTGAGGAGAAGAGGAAGCAGTGAAAAAGCTGCACATAGCAGATGTGGGCTTAATGTATACCTGGAAGGCATTCTGATGGCTTTATGACAATAAGTACATGCAGCCTTTCAAACTCAGGAAAGTTAAAAGGAGGAAGTTCTTTGTGTATGTACATTCCCTTTGCCCTCATCCTGACAATTATGCAAATATTTTATTTTAACCAAGGACAGATCAGTTTTATTAACTCCTCAAATTTCTGTAATATATTTTTCATTCTTCTTTTGCTTTCCATTACCTCCTTTTTCATACCAGTTTGCAGATTCCCCCTTCCCTCCAGTAATTTCTTTCTTTTTTTCTTCTTTCACCTCTGTGCTATTTGCCCCAAAAGATTTCTCATTCCACAACTTTGTCACTCAGTTGCTTGCCACTATACCTTGGGCTTCAGTCTGTTGTGGATGGATAAAATAGATTTTTGTCTTAGGCCAGGCCCCCACCATCTGGGAAAATGCCTATGTGCTCCATTTTGTAACTACATAAAGAAAAATCTTTCCATGTAATGTATTTGGATTTGGTGCCATATCTGCTTCCAAAACCCCTGGAAGGACTGGAGTTAAGTAATGCTCTTGGAAACTTATCTTTGCCAAATTTTATCTGTGTTATATATTCACCAGACTGAGTCATTAAGCACCACCTATCCATTATCTTAAAACATTGCCATCTTATGTTATTGCAAATAGGTGTTGCATAAAGAGATGCCCATGTTCTGATCCAACTCTTCTTTTGTTTCCTTTCCCTGGTCTGACTCTCAAGTGGCCATAGCCTCTTCTTCCAACATAGTGTGTCCAGTAGCAGAGTGATTGATAATAGAACTTTAACTGTAATTCCCTAGCAAAAGCTGCATTGCTCAAAACCTCTTGGATAACTTATTGTCTTGGGTGGGTATTTATACTTTTCATAAATGCTGTAAATGAAAATATTGCTTCCATTCCAGCTTACATCCTAAAATACAATGGCATTGCTTTGCACTAACTTTATATTCGTCTTTTTTTGAGAACTGCTTTATAGCTGCACTATAGGTATACAGAGATGACCCAAGACATCTTGCTGTCTGAGATGGAGCAGCAAATTTATTTTTTATTTATTTCAACAATTTATGTATCACTTAACACTGTAGGTCATATTCACACCCTGCATTTAAAGCACTCCTATACTATTTTAATAGTTGCGGCTTCTCTCAATGAATCAGTGGGCCAGTGCATCTGACTGTTAACCAGAAAGCTGGTTCAAGTCTACTCAGGGTTTCTGCACTGCAGGGGGGTGGACTAGAGTACCCTGAGGGTCCCTTCCAACTCTACAATTTTGTGATTCTAATCCTGGCAAGTGCAATTTGTTATGGGTGTTGCGACACGTGAGGGGTTTCCTAATTACTCTTGGCACCCTTCACAAACAACAATTCACAGATTTTGGCAGGGGGCGGGGAGGATGTAATGACTGTTAAAGTGGTGCGAGAGTGTTTTAAATGGATGGTGTGGGTGTGGCAGTAGTCTCTTGTTTTATTATTTTTTGTCCATATTTATATATTGCGCTTTGCACCATAAATGATTTCAAAGCAATTTACAAAACAATCTACATTCCCCACCCAGGAGTCAATACATCCCTGAATCAAGGTGCATAGTCAAGTCCCCAAGGACAATCATATTATTTGGCATCTGAAGCAGAAAATACCAACACCACTTCTACTTCTTCCAAGCAGTAAAATACGCCAACAATAAAATAAATATCAAACCATTTCCTGCACTTTCATGACACTCAGAATAGGTTACCTGAGGCAGCTGTCTCCCAATGGGACTAAATAAACTTAACAAGGCAGGGGTAGGGTGTGTTGGCATTAAAAGCTTGCAACCAGAAACACTACATGACCCTTAACTGAAGTTCTCTGCAGTTATATCCATTCCATGTCAACAATCAATGTCTTTTTAATAGAAAACAGAGCTTCAGGTGTGTATGCAGAGGTCAGGGTGGGGCCAGTGAAAGCAACCCACTTCTTCCACCCACATATCATTAAGTTCAAATATGATATCTAAACAGGGTTGTTTTTCTTCTTCAAATAATAATAATCAACTTCTGTTCTACTAATGCCCCACATACAAAATCTCACCCTCCAGTGATTAAGAACTAACCCCCCCGCCCCCCCAAAAAAGAATCTGGCATTTTAAATTATTTGTACCAACTGAGTATTCTATGCAGCTGTAACTAGCAAATGCAAAATTCTCATTTCTTGAACACTTGAAGATTGAGTTTGTGATTGGAAAACTGACCTCCTCGAGACAAAATACCTGGGAGAACTAATCTTGCTCTTATAGGCAAAATGTGCTTTATTTTCATTTGCTAAATAATGCACACATGAAATAATCTCATGCTGTGTGACCAAAATGGATTTTCCAGATGTAAACATCAGGTACAGAGAATATATTTCACCTTGTCAGTTCTATTCTTGTTTGCAAGTAATGCTATGTTGTTCCTGCAGTGTAAATAAAATGATTGTACATTCTTATTCCCCTTGTATCCCTTGCAAAAGTTAGAAACTGTAAGGAAACATTGAGAGGAAATTTTCTTTTTCTCTAAGAAATGTTAGAGAAATTCTCTCTAAGAAATGTTATTTTTCTCTAAGATATATATTTGTGGAATAAATAATAAGACTTTACAGTGGGGGAGGGTGGGAGCTTCTAAACTTCAATTACAAAATTAGCATTGCATGACTGCACTGGGTGCAATGCAATATAGTCGAACTTCAGTAAAACAGCTGGCAGCCTCCCTCCCTTGATCTTCAAAAATTACTTCACCTCAGGATTCGCTAGGATGCCAGTGCTTTGGATTGCAATATGCCTGGCGAGAGGCGCTGGCTAAGAAATCTGGCAGCTGATAATGATGGAAGAGGAGAGGAGAAATATCTACTTTGGACTGTTGCACTTTTTACTGATAGAAAGAAACAAACTGATAGAAGATATATTTTGAGAAGCAAACGTAAGTTGGATGCTGGATACTCCAGTGGGTTGAAGAAGCTAGAAAATGGAATGATAGAAATGGAAAACCTGGCTATCTGTAAATGTATCTCATCATGTATTTAGTGGAGAACAAGACTAGCAAAACCTGATCCTGCACATTTGTGCTGTGAGGCCTATGTACTGGCTGTTACAGTGCCTTCCAAAACCTCAGTGACAGGAGATTGAAGAGAGTCAAGTCCCACCAGATTACTGTGCTTCAAAATATGTGTGCACCTCAAAATATGTGTGCACACCTCAAATATGTGTGAAAGGAATGTGTTTCCTTTCAAAGGCTTAAAGGTAAAGGGACCCCTAACCATTAGGTCCAGTCGTGGCCGACTCTGGGGTTGCGGCGCTCATCTCGCTTTATTGGCCGAGGGAGCGAGCGTACAGCTTCCAGGTCATGTGGCCAGCATGACTAAGCTTCTTCTGGTGAACCAGAGCAGCACACGGAAATGTCGTTTACCTTCCCGCCGGAGCGGTACCTATTGATCTACTTGCACTTTGACGTGCTTTCGAACTGCTAGGTTGGCAGGAGCAGGGACCGAGCAACGGGAGCTCACCCTGTCACAGGGATTCAAACCACTGACCTTCTGATCGGCAAGTCCTAGGCTCTGTGGTTTAACCCACAGTGCCACCCGCGTCCTTCAAAGGCTTAGAAGGGTCCAAAAAGCCCATCCAATCCAGGCTCCTGCTGTAACACAGAGCCATCCAGCCCATACAACTCATAATACAGTATGCTGTTAGTGCACCTGTGAAATGTGTCTTCTGCAGGGAAAGTAAGTTACACAATATGCTAAAGGAGAAGAAAAGAAAGCAAACACCAGGAGGAGTGGGGATCCAATCAAAGATAGCTAGTGCTTCTCCACCCCAAGCTGCCTTCCCTTGTTTAAAAGCTAACAATTGTAGCAGGAGAAGGGGGCTTATACTAGGTGCATCCTATTCAGCTACATGTTCATCAACTGTACCGTGGCAAAAGTAAAAGATGCTTATAATAGACCGACATGATGCATGGATGCTTATATATATATATATACACACACACACACACACACACACACACACATATATGGAGGAAGGAAGGAAAGAAAGGCTAACTATGTGAATAGTGTAATCTAGCACCTTTTAAAATGTTTTTTTTGGGGGGGAGGGTTATTGGGTTGTTATTATTTTGATTATTTTGTGGTTTTATATTTTGATTTTATTCTGTGAACTGCTGAGACCTCTGGGTATAAAACAGTATATAAATTCAATTCTTCTTCTTCATCATCATCATCGGAACCAGACCCCTGAATTCACAAAGATCACATAACTTCCCCATACAGTAACACATAGAAATACACAGTTATGTTATTTGAATATGAGAACTCTAGAAGGAACCCAGGATATTGCTGTGGCAGGAAGAGATGGTCTTTTGTGTTTTTAAAGTGGCCGGCAGACTGGACAGTAATCATCACTGAGGTCCTTAGACTACCAAATTATAACAGCAGCAGCTATAATAAGCTTAGTTTACTTTGCTAACATTCATTTTTAGATTCTTATTATTGGTATCTTTTCCTTCTGCCATTTCTATTTACCTCCAGCAAATTAAATCCAATACTGTTTATAAAATGGAGCAAAATCCCATTAGCAGCGGTGGCTGTACATATGTTTTATATTAATAGAATCAATTGCCCCCAAGGAATTATGCATTTATATTCATGAACTCAGTGAAGAAGTATCCAAAAGAGCTGCCAATGGCAGCAAAGCTGAAGGAACAAGGTGAGTTAATGTGCTGGCAAAGAGACTATATCACTGTGGCTGGAAGATATCCTCTGAAACAGATAGGAAAAGTATGAGGGGAAAGGTGCTAATATTTCAGCCCCCTTTTCTCTGCAACAGATACTTTAACTACTAGCAGAAGGCCAGGAATGGGTTTCACTGATTTACAGGAAAGACTGAGGGGGATTTAACTTGAAATCTCATCTGACACCAAGGGGAAAAAAATCAAAGTTACTTTGACACTGATTCTTTGTACCTGAAACTGACCTGAAGCCGCAAGTTGGTCATTCTCCAAGGGAGAATCAATGTTTCTCTAAGAGAGAGCCTGATCTGTAATTCTAACTTCCCTTCCTGGGGGGGTGGGGGGTGGTTCCCTTTAGAACTCAGTGGGAACTAGCTAGAACCTTAAGTCTTGCCTGTGTAGCAAGCCCTAGCTGCTATGCTGAGCTGTTGACATGTTGTTTACACATAAATGAAACTGTTGAAGTTATCTTGACTCCTGCTGTTTTTTGGTCTTAGCGCTGGTTGACCCATTACAAGGTTTCCTCACACAGTGAGAATCTTCCAAAAACCCATGGGATACTGCGAGTGCTAACCAAGAGAGCGAAAACAGACTGTTGAGTCTGGCTGTAGGAGCAACAGTCAATATGAATGTAAAGCGAAAAGCAATCACCATAAATATAAAAAGGATTGCCCAATTTACTTAAAAGGCCCAACCTCTATTTCCTAGGGGCTGCAAAATCTGTCCATCCTCCTATCCAGTATATCAGTAGCTATTCTGAACATTAGTCTAAGCTGAAATCCCATATTAACAAATAACTTCAGAGGCAATGCCTCATTTTAAAACCTAAGCAAGCGATATTCAGTCAACCATTTATCACAAAGAACACTTTTTGTGTGTGTGGTTACAATAAAATAGCACTTTAAGGCTTGCAATCAATCACTGTACAGGTCTGAAATTAGAACTTTGATGACATTATTTCCACATGGTAAAATCCTTAGAAAAACACAATTCTCTTTAGATGTACTCATAAAGTTAAAAAAAGCAGCGTTTGGTTTCCATTGCCATGATCACCCACCATAGAACCATTTTGCACCAACAATTCCTGCATAGTTCACTGCCATCAATCTTGTTAGGACTGTTCTGAATATAATATGGAAAGTGTGTTTATTCAGGGTTTTCTTAAGAAGAAAATAATACTTGACAGTAGCAGCCAACGCAATCTCTTCAATTATTTTGTTCTTTTGCAAGTATAGCTTCTCTATTTCAAGTAGTTTCCATCTTTTTATACTGAAAACTGATAAGAACAAAAGCTGCTATAATCTACCATAGATTACTATTGTGTGATCCTATGAGCTACTGAGCTTAAGTAGCAGCATATGTGATCTGAGCCAAGGCACCTAGCAGTAGTTTAAGGGGACAATATTAAAACACAATCCCAGACCCACCATTGCAATAGCCTTGGACATTACGGTAATATCTGTGCTTTTAGAAAAACTTCCATACCTACAGTATTTAGATACATTGGGTGGCATTCAATTAAGTTTTACTAGGAAAAGACCCATTGAAATTAGTCATGTTCATTAATTTCAGTGGCTCTACTCTGAGTGAAACTATGTATGTAGGCGGGGGGTCATAACAATCATTTTCTTAAGGGAGGTTTGCTATGAGGAAAGGGGTAGGAATGCTTATTTTAAGATGGTTCTTGCCATCTGCAGTTTTTAAAATCATTTGTGTTACAGTACTTTGAAAAGTACCATTTTAATCATTTTAATCTATTACATGTTTTAAACTGATTACCTCATTAAGCAATTAATCATTCCAACTCAACTAGTAAGTTCATTTAAAAAATACCCCTTATAAGCCACAAACAAAAGATCTCTAAAGAAAGTAGATAATTTTTCTAGGGCTGTTAAAATCCTTATTTAGTACCAATACTAAAAAAAGGAAAATGTTATATTGGTTTGTTTCTTCCCTTCAAATGAACATTCCCATCTCTGATTTCCCACTCAGCCTTTGTAAATTGGAAAGAACTTTCATGGATAAATTGCACATACACTCTCTAAACTTAGTTCCGCCCATGCATAGCTTAAAGTTCCCAAAAGCTAGTTATCTAATTGCTATTTCTGTGTTTGCAACTCCTACTCGCCCTATCCCATGAAAAGGTAAGAATCCACCACTTACCTTACAAATTTACAAATTATTCATGTAAATGTTATCCTGACATAAAAGTCAATCCCACTCTACATCATAAAACTGCAAAATTAGGAGATCAGCTTCCTACATGCTAGTAGCCAATCTCTCACCTACTAAGATGCAGGACGGCAGATGATGTTCTAAGCTAAACCAGTAACAAAGTCCTCTGTCCTGAACTGGAAGATCTATTTCTGCAACTATTTGATTTCACCACTTCTTTCAGGAGCAAGCAGCAGCCTCCATACATCACACCTCTCTAATATTGTTCATCATAAGGAAGGGTTGTTTGGGAAGTCTAGCTGGCTGTGACTCACTGAGCATTGACTTGTACTCCACAAAGTCATTGCATGAACAGTTGAGTTTCCACTCATGTAATGGAACTCCCCCCTCTCTCTCCTCTCTCCACGTCTTCCTCTTCCACAACTGCTCTGGGAGGGTCTCCCCAACCATTGGGAGCAGATTTGACAGGGTGTGGGGGACACATGGCAGGGAGGAAAGGGGAAGTTCCACTGCATTTGCAGAAGTCATTCTACTTGCACAATGACTTCATTAGATTGAACCTATTATTGGTGTCTCTTCACTATTTTTATGAACTATGAAAAATATCAAGTCTTGTATTATACCCACAAGTATTATATCTACACATCCCTCTGTCTTTCTCAATCACACATACCTCAGAAAGTTACTCTTGCGCATTTCATTTGAAATGGCCTGAAAATGGGAGGGGAAATATTGTTAAAATGCCAAGTTAGCAAAAATAGGAATTCTCCAGTATTGTAGGTAATGTTACTGCCCATGCTATACATAAACTGATGACACCAGTCACTGTTGATGAACACACAGGTATGCAGTTCACAGACTCACTCAATTTTAGTAGTGATTTGCCATGTGTTAACTGATCTACATAAAATAATGTTTGTACAACATTGTAAAAAATATAAACTTGTAGAACCAAAGTACTATACACCATAATGAAAGCAATCCTCGGTGCTCCTTCAGTACAGATTTTAGGACTATGGAATTATTTTAGAATTATTAAAATAACCCTGAAATGTGATAACTCTCTTTCTGGGTGCTTTCTTTACATATTCAATGCAAAGACACCAGAAAATTATTATCCAAGCTACCCTTAAGGAACAGTCTCTTTAGACACATTTATGATTAAGCAATATATAAATGCCTTAAATAAATAAAATACATCTGTCTGTTCTTCACAGTGGTATTCTTCAGCAGCCTAGAGCAAGGGGAACAACAGAGTAGAAGAGGACAAAAGAGAGAGAAATCAGCTGTAAAATCTGTACAGGGTAGGAACCTGGAACTTTGCATGCTTTGTAAAGTTGCAGTGAAGAGTAAATTACAAATCTCAATCAAATTGATTTACCTTACATTGTGCGTGTGTGTTTGGATTTAACATACAACACACACCTACATTCTGGCAGGTAGTCCCACCTATTCAAATAAGAAGAAAGCTGTTGCTGGAGAAAAGCCTGAATCAAGAAATATTCCATCCAATATATAGCATTTTCCCCAAATAGTAGCAGGGTGGAGTCTGGTCAAATGCCTCACCAATTTCTAACAAATGGCTGTAAACGGGAATAATGGTTGTTGTTGTTTTGAAGTGAGTATCCTACACTATTGGCTACAGAAATGGTTTATGAAGGGAGCCCAACAGTGTTGCTTCATCCCCCCATCTCTTCTATTGAACAGGCTGTGAGAAAAACTACCATCGTTAGGGATGTAAGAAGGAATTCTTTTCTGTTTCAAACTCTATTTGTTACATGCAGCAATGTTTCTCTTCTGCTGCAGTTTGTATTCTGCCAAAAACTGTCATCTCACTTTGTGTACATTATGTTGTCATTATGTTATTCCACCACATTCATTTTTTTCTACAAACTTTATTGAAAATTTTAAAAACAATTACCAAACACAAAGTGTTGTCTTCCAAGACAAATACATATACAGATATTAAGTCTTGTATGCAGTCATCCACATTAATTTCATTGCAAATGAACACAATGCTTTTGTGTATGGGTCGTTCGTGGATTGAAAGCAACAATCATATACCGATCATATTCACTGGGCTGATTTACATTATGGACAGGGGAACAATAGGTGAACGCCGGCAATTTATGTTCCTGTTTTATCCATCAATGAAATTCTCCAACATCCCTACCTGTAGCCCCTCATGCTATATTGCTGCTGGTGCTTCCTACTGGTAGACGGGCAACCCATGCACAGGACTTCACTCATCCTAACCCCCACACTGGGAATCATGATCACAGGGACCACAGCTTTGAAAGAGGTATATATTTATTCCTTTGGCTATTTTGTGCCTAGTTTTTTTTTGGGGGGGGGGTAATGTATTCTTTGTATTGTCAAAACGGCCATGCCTTATCTTGTACTTAATGGGAAACAGCCATATATAGCCTAACAGAATCATTCACATTTGCAGCGTGTCCCTGCATCTAAGGCTGCATCATCATGGAGAGCCTTTGACCTTTCAGCTCAGAATACTGACGCACAGATAGGCAAACAACAGTTTCTCAATTGCCGCTTCCTTTAGATCTACCACCTGGAAAATGATTTCTTGCTCCACAGAGTTGTTGAGGAGGATGAACAAAATTATTTTTGGTTGTTGCTTTTTATACAAATCAGCAGAGAACAAGAACAGTGCGGTGATTAAATAGATTGTTTAATGATCACTTTCACTGCTGTGTTTGTATCTGTTCCAATGACAGAACTGTTTAGTTCCTTCAAAACACAGAAGATCAACACTTCCATTTAATGATGCTAGATTTTTCAAAGAAACCATTTTTAAGGGAGTTGCTATGCTGAAGACAATGAAGCCACTTAAAATAAATAAATCCCAATATTATGAACTATATTTGTCATCTCTCGTAAGTGTGTAACCCAGCTTCTCAAAAGGGCACTCACAGTATGGGTATCCTTTAGGCTTTATCTGGCCTTTTCAGCTCACTGTTGGTCTATTTAAAAAAAAGAAAGAAAGAAACAGCAGACAAGCTGTATCATTTGCTTTAAATCAGAACATAACTTGGTCTATGTGATAACAATTTTATCTTCCACAATGTACAGAAATATGTTGTTTGTAAATTTGAACACATTAGCTACATTATTGTATGTTTCAATGGGGGAAAGGGCACAGGAAATTAAATGCTGGCAATTTGCTAACTTTGTATTATAAGTTTTGAGACAATGCAAGAAAATAACATTGTCGCAGAATGCATGCAATAAGAAATTAAACAACAACAAAAATGAACATCTGTTCCAGGATGAGAAATGCATATTCACAGAGGTATTTAAATAGTTCCATATGGAACCTTAATAATATTGTTTAATTGCATTTTTGGATAATGTGGGTAGCATATTAACAATTACTGCTACCAACAGAAAATTATAAATAAGCCTCTAGCTACAAGGAATAGGAGTAATGGAAAATGAGCCTCTCCTTGTCTTTGTTGTACAAAAACAAACAAACCTAAGAACACTTACACTAATGGCTTTCATCCTAACCAAACTTATTATTACAGGGTTGTGAAAATGGGAGGAAAATGTTTCTTAGACTTCTGAATTAAGATTGATTATCAACAGCCCCGTTTTAAGATCAGGGAACATGAACATGTGTTACAGCCTTGAAATCTGGTTGTGTAGGAACCATCACTCATGTCGGATAGAGCTCAGAATTGAGGGCCTCCACACAACTGCATTGTTTAGAGATGTTCACTTTAAAATTGACCATAGAATTAAGAATTGTTGATTCTCCCATTTACTGCACACCCTAGAAGATATATTTTTAATTTATATTTATATGCAGATTTCTATCATGCACACCTAGAGCCTCATATTGTTATTCATATCACATGCAGATCATGGAAAAATCTGTACTTTTGCCACATGCGGAGAGTGAAAAGCTTAAAAGCTTCTTACTGTGTATATAGCCTGACATGTTTGAGACTTACAGCAACTAATGTCAGGAACATGCAGTACCCACAGGGGGTGGAATGCACCTAGGAGCTCTTAAATGTTAACCTCCTACCGTGCAGTGTCAACATGAGTAATATATTCTGGCAGCTTGCACATGAAGTAACATTTAAACTGGTCCTTGTAAATAAGATTATTGCAGTGAGTCGGATTTGGATTTACCAAACCAAACATTCAAAAAGTTCCCATTTCAATGCCTGGCATCTGCAGGTAGGGCTGGGAATGTCCTCTGCCTGAAACCCTGGAGGGCAGCCACTGTCAGTCAACATGGAGAATACCGAGTGAGATGGACCAATGGTCTAACCTGGAATAAGGCAACTGTCTAGGATCCTGAGACTTCACATTATAATCTGTATTTGTGGTCTTTATGGTTCCTAGGCCCTGAAAATTCTCAGTGAAAGTACAATTACTTCTTTTTAAAAGTATGTAATGAAAACATTTTATTGTGGAGAATGGTAGTGAACAAGATTTGATGGAGGATTGAGTTTGACAGTGTGGCCGAGTTTTACCCCTCACCTGGTTAGTTGCGTTGCTGGTACTTACCATGAGGTACAGGGGCAGAGGTGTTGCGGAGATTGGCATGGTGCAAACACATTGGCAGGAGCACAGGAGTGGCAGTTTCACTGTGCCAACATCACCATTTCCCCCTCTACCTCCCAGTAAGCAGCAACAATGTTACTGACAAGCCACACCACCACCTCCTACTGCTTGATTGTATAGGATTGCTGCCTATAAATGCCGATAGGCATTTGTTTTTAACTTTGTGAGCCGAAGCTTGATTTTATTTACTGTTATTTTGGTACACAGTTATGTATGATATTGGAGGAGTGTTTTGCCCCTTTTATGACTATGACCTAATGTTTTGTGCTTCACATATTGCATTTTTATCAAATAGCAAGAAATTGCTATCATGAATCCATACAGAGAAATAATATTGCCCCAAAGTCTGAAGTAATGGATGATAAGCTATGCGACAGAAAAATAATGCCCAATAAAATGGTTATAAAAAACAACAAGGAAAACATCCAATAGGCTAGAATTGAAATATGCGATTGACCTCTAATCTTAAATGCTGCCAGATGACTTTAGCTGTGCTAGAGCGAGATTCTGCCTGAACTCCCCTCACTCAACTAGTTTTCTTTAACTTGGCTGTTTGTCAACACTCACATAGAAATCTTGACATTTCAACGAGTTTATGTCTTACACACACACACACACACACACACACACACACACAGAAAGCCATTCCTTTTGGTGCTTGCAGGAAAATGCGAGCAGGATTGGGTGCCTTTGCCTGATAAGCACCCAGTGCACCACTTGGGAAAGGTATGTAGAGGTGACCTCAGGAGCCACACAGAGCCAGACAGGATTGGGGCCATTATTATATTGGGAGGTTTTTTTCAATCAGAACTCACCGTAAGTTCCAGCACCTCTCAGCTGGGTTCCAGCACTCCTCAAGTGGGCAGCATTGCCATTCTAAGAGAACAAGGGAGGTGTTCATGGTGAGTTCTGGCACCTCTTTTTCTAGAAAAATATATTTAACAGCTGATCTTGAATGTCATTAAAACCACTGCTAAGTTCAAGTCACAGATAAAAATTACATGTATACCATTTACGTCTGTAAGCTGAACAATTTATTTCTTTAAAAAAATAGAAATTATGGATGCAGTCCTCGAGAAAACATTATAGGAATAGACTCAAATGGTTACCCGTTCATTATAAAAATAGTTAATTTCTACATACCACACTAAATATTTCACATATTGCATGGTAAAACATAGTTGTATAGTTACAAGCAACAACTGATTTATGTGCATCCAACTAACATGTAATTGTGCACGTGTGCATCATGGCAATCCGGACGTGGCCAGCAAATGGGATGGAACAGGGGGTGGAACAGGATGGGCTTATGCAGGTTCTGCTGTCTCGCACAATTCCACAGAATGCAACCCCCACACAAATTGGGGGTTGCTTGTACTTCACTGGAGATGTTTATGTCATGGTTACTTCACTGGAGACGTTTGGGAACTGGAAGAGCTAGTGCTGTAATGTTTTTATTCTAATTATTTTAAAACTTCAAACAGATTTTATATATGTATATAGTTTAATTCTATCAATGTTTAATTGTTTTTAAATGATTGTATCTTCTATGTTTTTAGGGATTCTTGTTTTTATATGAAAGCTGCCTTGAGTCAGCACCAACACTTTAAAGCCCTAAACGGCCTTGCCCCAGTATACCTGAAGGAGCATCTCCACCCCCATAGTTCAGCCCAGACACTGAGGTCCAGCACCGAGGGCCTTCTGGTGGTTCTCTCCCTGCAAGAAGTGAGGTTACAGAGAAACAAACAGAGGGCCTTCTCGGTGGTGGCACCTGTCCTGTGAAACGCCCTTCCATCTGATGTCAAGGAAATAAACAACTATCTGACTTTCAGAAGACATCTGAAGGCAGCCCTGTTATGGGAAGCTTTTAATATTTGATGAATTATTGTATTTTAATATTTGACTGGAAGCCGCCCAGAGTGGCTGGGGAAACCCAGCCAGATGGGCAGGGTATAAATAATAAATTATTTTTATTACAATGTAATTCAATGGTGATCAATCTGTGGCCCTCCATATGTTGCTGAATTACAACTTCCATCATCCTGACCATTGGTTGGAATTCAACAACATATGGAGGGCCACAGGTGCTCCATACTTGATTTAGTTATTCAAAATTGGGGCAGTAAATGTAATGTTTCACTTTCCATTGCATAGATTGGGGGAGGGGGAGACACATTCAGATAGATTTAATTTTTTATAATAACAGTAATGCACTGTATAGAACTCGTGAGTATCAACTGCTCCCCTTAAACATAAGTGAGAGTGACCAAAGAGAAGGGGGGCCACTAGGGGGCGCATCAGAAGATGGCTGACAATAACATCTCTCCGACCCACACGAGGTAATTTGGAGGCTATGATGGGAGTAATTAGCCTCCCTAACCCCCCCAGGACGGTGGGGGGGACTGCCTTTGCCTGCTGTGCCCTATACCACCCCCAAACTTGTGGGGATGGGGGCACTAGGCACAAAGCCCTCCTGTGGGATTCCGGCACTCCTGGACGCCGTCCCTGATTCGCGCCACTAGTTGCTAGAACTTCAAAAGAAAACAATTTGGATGAAGGAAATGCACATATTTCAAGGAAGGAGGGGAGTAAAGACTGCTATAGAAGAGATCTCTGATAAAACAAGACAAGAATAAACATGAGAAGATACGCCAAGACACGGTATGGCAAATGACTGATGGGGGAGGGGGAAAAAAACTTTCCTTTCTTTTCTTATGTGATTAACAAGAATCCCCTCCCCTCACGAGTCATGAGTCAGAAATGTCGTTTTAAGGACTTAAGCTGTAGATTTAAGGCTGTGTGGAGATAAACTTTCGAACCAAAGCATGTTTTAAGAAGAGCGAGGAATGTATAAGAGCTTGGGAATGACGGAGTTAAAAATGCCGTCGCCATATTGGGAAGTTCTGTCGGAGGTCTTGAGTCTGGGAGAAAGAGAGAAATAGAGCTGTTTATATATTGTGGGTGAAACTCCTCAGAGGGACTTAAGAGCGACAGCTTTGCGAGATGGAAAGAGCGATGTTATCTATGAAGGCGATGATATATGGAAACCATCTTGATTTGAGGAATGGAAGAACGGAAAAATTCACACAGGATTATTATTATTATTGGTGTTTATCGGCTTAAGGAGACTATCAGAAGAGATCATAAAGAAAAAAGAGAAAATATATAAACAAGATGTGATATGGAAACAGCAAGATAAGACTGGATAGAATTATGAACTCTGTTTGGACTGATTTGGACTGATTTGGACATTAACGCAGTAGCAAGAAGATGATCAGAATCCCCCTTCAGATCCCCCCAACAAAATTTAAAATTCGGCTTTGTAATTCGGAATTTATGTGATGTGATTTAATTTGATTTGATTGGCTGGTTAATAAAAATTATTTTAAAAAAAAAGAGAGAGAGAGTGACCAAAGAG